AGCTATCCATCGCCGACATCACTGCCATCAGCTACAAAAACAAGAAGACAGCCTCCAGCAGGTAGAGCTGATTCTTAGCTGGCCATGTTTGGGGACCTCTTAACAATCCAAAGGGCTTTTCCCCTGAAGTCTAAGTAAATCAATAAAGTAGCCCACCCATGCCAGGTCAACCCTTTGCTCTATCAAGTCACCAACAGCCACTGTCTGTTAAAACTTCCTCTGTGTTTGGCAGTGGTAGGCCATAAATTAGAATGTTCTAGAAGAACAAACTCCACTGATAGCACATCTGCTTCGCTCACAGCACATATATGGGTGCAGTAACTTCAAAGAACTGAAGCGCTTAGCTTGGCGAAGGGTCAACGTGGAGACCTGCCACAACCAAAGCCCTGGAAAGCGAACATTTAAAGAGGCAAGGGTTGTGTTTCCTGAGGAAGTGAAGACCAGGGTCTTAATTCTTCGCGAGTGAAAATGTTTCTAAGTCAGAGGACAGCAATTGGCTGCACTCCGTCGGGAATAGGAGGAGGACATGTGTCTAAATGACAGTAGGAAAACTGAAAACTGAAGTTAAGAAGTTTCTGACAGTCAGGGCTGTGACCCAGAAGACACATTGCCAGCATGGCCTATGGAAACTCCTCCTCTGGAGAATTTAAAGCGAAGGGTGGACAGCTGTTCTGCGGATGTTTTCAGCGTGGTTCCTCTGGGCAGCACGGCTGGCCCCATCTCAATGGTCTTTTGAGGTCCCACTCTCATTCCAGAATCATGTATTATTTTATTTCATCTACCGTAGATTGACCCAAAAGCATGTGGTAAGCAGGGTCTGATGTACAACTTGAGGCTGGCTGGTTTCTGGGGTTAGGATGGATCTGGGAACCATCTTATTCCAGAGAACATCTTTACTGTCCTTGAGCCAAATCTTACTTCCTTTGAGTCTTGGATTGGTCCTCCCAGATTATTGGTGCTCTTTGGACCCTTTTTCTTTCTAAAAGAAACAAAAAGGCCAGCACAGGAGGCAGTGGGTTTAGTGATGGCAGTGGAAACGAAGATCAGAGCATTTATGGAGCGTTGTTCGTATGCAAAGCACCTTACAAGGCTCTTTCCATTTCCTCCTCCTCACGACCCTATGCAGTATTGCTGTTATTATATCCATTTCACAGATGGGAAGACTGAGGCGTTAAAAGACTAGCGAACATTAGGATTCCAGCCCAGATGAGAGGCGAGTTTCTGGCAATTTTTCTCAGTCCAATCAGGGCTCAGATCTTACTTCCATCACTCTCTAGCAGTGGTCTGGGACACATGACTTCAATTCTCTGAGCCTCTGTTTCCTTTTTGGTAAAAATGGAGAACATAACACTTAATTCACAGGGAAGATTATGGAAGGCAACAAAGCCACCAGTGTGATATCTGGCACACAGAGGTGCTCAGGTCACAACAATTCTCTTGCCCCTACTCTTCCTCTCCCTATCTCTGGGCTTTTCCTGGCCGAAGCCATTCCTTCATGATGTCCTGCCTCTAATCAGTCCTCTGTCAGTGACAGGCAGGAACGTTTTGCAGCTCAGCGTCCCTCTGACTGATGTCTACTGCTAATTCCTTAAATTTACATATCATCTTTCTTCCCTCGAGCTCGTAGCACTTAACAGACAAGTGGGGCACAAATGATTTCACTAAGTGAAATTCAGAGGCCTGCTTGTCTTGAGATTCTGCAAACTAGTGGATTAGCTCAGATGTCAGCACTGAATTATGATCCTTCAGCTGCTCGTGCTTAGCATGCCACCAGCATTAACTCCCTGGTCTTCCAGTGGTCCTTTAAATCATGCATAGTGATTATCATCTTATTGTGAGAGAGAGAGAGAGAGAGAAGAGAGGAGAGGAAAGGGAGGGAGAGAGGAGGGGACCAGCTCAGGTCCCCGGGAGAGGCAGTCTGTGAAACCTTTGGCCTCATCGTGCCTGAAGTTTTAGCAACAGGGTGGGTAAATAAAACAGACCGGATAAAATCCAGCCAGCCCAGCTCTTTACACCTCCACACACATTTTACTTACTAAATTCCAACCATTATGCTATGATTCCCCTGCTGCTTAGGAATGTAAATTCACACAAGTGACAGTATTTCTGCCAAAGCAGTTTTCAGGCAGCCAGTGGGTCTTATTTGTGAAACTGTGAAGGAAGAAGACTGAATAATAAGTCTCTGAAATCTGGTTTCCTTTATATACGAGCGGAAGCAGTAAAGGTTTGGAAATGACTGGAGCATGGGAGCATTTGGGGGGTTCTCACTGGTAGCTCAGTGGACTGGATGCTTCCCCAGGTCACCCTGTTTTTGGATCTGCCTATTGACTGTAGGTATATTCACTTTGCAAAAGCTATTGTACCTTTTTCTTTATACATACTCATATTGCAGTATAAATGTTCTGTAATAAAAAGCAGAGCATCTCAAAAAAAAATCACCTCACCTTTGAAAAAGGCTGTTGGCTCAGTAGAACGGGAGGGAACTGTGAGAGAAGATTATATGAACCTGAGGGCTTACCGGAGGCCACGTGATTCCCCCTCTGTTCTTGTTTCCAATGGGCAGCCTCACTGCATTCTTTATCCATGTGTTTGTCATTCATTCATTCATGGGGACAAAATTTTCCTGAGTGGTGGCATATATTTGTCACTATCTAGGGGCAGGGAGAAGCATTATTAACCCTTCTATGTGTAAGGCCAGGACCTTACACAAAGAAAGACACACACCAAACGGTTAAATTACGGTACAAGGCAGTGGGTGTTTACCTGCTGAAGCACATGAAAAATGGCCTCCAGTCCTTTTTAAAGCAAGGTAAAATCAGTGGTGTGGTCAGTAGATGCTCGAGTTGTTGAGAGAGGAGAGGAATTAATGTTGAAATGTGCCAGAATGGTTAGGAGAAAACCTAGCAAAAGGGGTGGGATGGGGGTCGGGGAGCAGAGAATTACAGGTAACTGGAGGAAAGGCAACAGCGCTCAGCAGAGAAGCCAGTTTGCCTTGAATAGCATGTGATTGATTACACGGACTTGGGACAAGGTACTGGGGTCACAGCTGAAGTGAAGGACCTACTGCATGAATGTGGGGAAACCTGTAGTCAAGTCCAGCTGTGCTACTCACTAGCCTCTCTCCCTTGGAAAGTCACTTGAACCTTTCCGAGCCTCAGTTTCTACATCTTGCGCAAAATAAGATTAGTAAGACCTAGCTCACAAGCATATAGCAATGATTAAATTATGAATGCGTATCAACATGCTTTGTAACCTGTAAAGCATTATGCAAATGTGACTTAAAATCATTACCATTAATAGTGGCAGTAATGAGATCTGATAGGAGAAGCACAGGTTCAGAAGTTCTTTGCGTGTCTGCTTGTGGCACCAGTGTCTCCCCCCTCAGCAGGTCACCATCATTAAAATTCTCTGCTCCAGACAGCTGCCTACTTATCTGTGCTGACTTTGGCCTTGAAGAGGTCCCGTGTTGTGGGATATTAGACCAACGTGGTTCTGGATGGTTAAGGAGGCCCAAACTGGAATCCCAACTATGCATCCTAAGCTGGTCTAATTTGACTTCAGGGGAGGGTGGCTTCTAGAGCAATAACCCTGGAGAATCTAACCAGACCGGACTTAGGGGAGACAGCGGGGGAGGGGGAGACGTGGCCAGGAAGAGGAGAGCTGAAAGAGCTGTTTCTGGGCCACTGATGACTGTCACAGGCTCCGCTCTCACTAGAGAGATGATGTCAGCAGGAATAACAACAGCAAACCGGTGGTCCAGGAGTACCCTGTTGATTCAGGGCTCTGGAGTGCCCGCCTGTCCTTCCCTGATAAGCCCAGGAGGTTCACAGTCCCTGTTGAGTAAGAGAGCTCTGTGCCCACGTCTCAGGTTAACCTGATCCTGAGGTGTCTGATGTGCTGGGTATGTGGTGCAAAAGTGCCCCCGCCATCTTGCAGAAGTGTTCAGCATAAGATGTTTCAGGGCCCAAAGGAGGCCGTGAGACTTTCTCCTCAGATGCCATCCTGTTCTCCGTGCAAGTGGCCGGAATGCTCCTCCACGAGCTGGATTTGCTGGTGCGGGTCCCCAGACCTGTGTCTGCAAGGCATGGGGTCTGCCAGCAGGAACGGGAACTCGGCCTCCCACACAGTACCTGATGTATCTAAAAGCTAATCGGCCAAAAGACACGCTCTTCAAACATTTGGATGGGTGAAACCTTCATTTCCCAATATGTGTATGTTCTCTGCTAAACTAAACACTTAGCCTTTGTTAGTGATGATGACAGCACTTGTTTTTATTGGGGCTGTGTTTGCCTGGCTCTCTAAGGAAGGCCAAGTTCAGGCCTCCCCAGGCTGGTCAGGGAAGGGGTTGGGGTCTCAGGCCCCCTGAATCACCCCTGTGCTGCCACCATTCCCTGTTCTGCTTGAACAGGGATGTGAGTCTTCCGAGTTGCAGTTACTAGAGACCAGGCACCATCCAGTAGCACCGTCGGAGACAGAAGCTTTTAAATGTCTTCCATTTGGACAGTGCCCAGCCAAGATGATAAAGGCTTGAATTATAAACCACCTGGCCAGAAACATCCTCTAGTCTAGCAGCCATTTCACCACTTTATTATCCAGTTCATTAGAGTGCACTGGCCCTTTGGGTAAGCCGATGATGCGTAAAACGTAGGTCTGGCCTCTTGGAATCTAGGGGGGGAAAGACAAGTACAAATACAGCCAGCCAAGACCTACGGCCAGCGGCGCCAGGTGCCATATGTACAAGGCACAAAAGAAGTGATGCAGGGAAATAGGCAGGAGGGACCTTCTTGACGTAAAGACTCAAGAAAGGGCTTCGAGAGGATGCAGCATTTGAGTCCGGGTTCCAGAGCCCTAAGAAAGGGACACAGGGTCTGGAGAACTATTTCATAAATAAAAGACACCCAAACTCTGCCCCAGCTTCCCCCTGGAGGGACCACAACTGCCAACTGGTGTCTTTCCCAATTATTTACCAGGAACCCCTGTTTGGGTTTGTTTCCCCCCAGATGACAGGAATTTCTTGCGGCTGCAGAGTGATGGCGGGAGAGAGGGCCAGTACGCGCGGCTCATCAGCCCACCCGTCCACCTGCCGCGGAGCCCCGTGTGCATGGAGTTCCAGTACCAAGCCACGGGAGGCCGCGGGGTGGCGCTGCAGGTAGTGCGCGAAGCCAGCCAGGAGAGCAAGCTCCTCTGGGTCATCCGCGAGGACCAGGGCGGCGAGTGGAAACACGGGCGGATCATCTTGCCCAGCTATGACATGGAGTACCAGGTGGGGTGGCGACGGGAGACCGTTGCGGAGATCCGAGGGAATCGTTGTGATCTGTGTTTCAATATTTCAAAGGGCCGTGCCCATTCATCTTTAGGGAACGCGGTTAAGCGCCGCTGTTTTCATTGTGTTTCTCACGTTGCCATGGCAACTAAATGACACTCTTATTTGTTATTCAGAATGTGCCTATCTCTACACCCAGACTCGGTTCTTTGTTCCTCCTATCGCCTTTTATATTGCTGAAACCTTCTCCGACAAATGTTTCTTCTCTCCATTTTATTTTAGATTGCTATCAGGTAGGCTGACAAAGGGACGCAGAAGCCAGGGAAATAAACACAAACCAACCCTCCACTCACAAGGGAAAGAAGCCTGTGGAGCCCCTCAGACTCCGAGAGGAGAGGGAAACAGCCTCCCACCCCTGTCCCAGCAAGTGTGAACACGGGAAGGGGAGGGGTCGCTGTTGGTGCCTAGTGGCCAGCAGACCAGAGAGACTCCTAAGTGAGTGGTATCTCTCCCAGCAGCTCCAGGAGTTGAGTTCTATTATCTCTGCCCCACAGAGCAAGCGCCCGAGGCACAGATGGGTACGCACAGCTGGGGCTGAAACTTGGGTAGGAGTAGGCATACTGTGGAAGAGGTGACTGGGAACCAGCCAAAGCATTAACCTGCTCCTCCCCAGACGAGGAGCAGCAACAGATGGCTGGTGAGGCGGCCAACTGCTCGCTCAGCTTGCCAGAGGACATGTGCTCGTTTGCAGAGAGAACCTGGGGAGGGCGAGAATGAGGGCGGAATGGAGACCACAGAGCAGAGGGGCTCCTGTGTGCTGCCTGCAGTCACTCTCGAGCTTGTTAGGCAGCCTGAGTCCCTCCCCTCCCCCACCTGCCTTCCCACTTATAAACCTCAGTGCATGGTGTTGCGAGTACCTGTTGGCATTTTTGTCTCGCCCACTAAACGGTGAGATTTCCTGGTCAGAGGGTCTTCTTCTCTTATTAGGGTTTGTAACTGTCATGGTGCCTGGCACACAGTAGGTGCTCAGTAAACTAGTGGTGAAGGAAAATCACTTCCCTTCTCGTTGTAATAATGGAGCCATATGACAGAGTTACCCCCAAGGCGACACAAACCTGTATACTACATTTCTCACTTTACCCCCACCTGCTCGTGTCCTCTGAGTTTCCAAATACCTGGATTGGGCATTTGAAAGATTTATGAGAAAAAAATATCAAAAATGGCTAGGGAGGGCTTCCCTGGTGGCGCAGTGGTTGAGAGTCCGCCTGCCGATGCAGGGGACACGGG